CTATTGATATTTTTGATCAAGATCAACAAAAAAGCTGAGATAATGATGATATTTTGTAAAAAGAGAACACCCTTGTTTAACTAAAATTAATATAATATTAACACACACAATACAGTACTTTTAATTGTGATTGCTAATTAATTATTGATTGGAAATAAATTATTGATTTCTTTAATAAACATATTTCTCGTAGCAAAAGTATACTATTCTTTTTTGTTACTAACTTTGGGAATATAATGGAAACCCTATGTTTTGCATTAGTCCCTTGTTTCATATAGCAAGGATATGCATAACACTGCACTTTTTCGGAACATAACTACCATGTTATATGAGGGATACCTTTATGTAGTTAACTAGTAGTTTGATTACTAAATTGGGACAGTGATTGTAACTAGTAATTAATTATAATGCAAGTAGTTAACTACATAGTTTAATTACATTAGTACAAATATCCGTCATGAAACAAGGTAATTACATTCTGAAAAAGTGCCATGTTTGTGAATCCATGCTATACGAAACAAAGGACTAATGCAAAACAAGGGATTAGGTTCCTAAAGTTAACAAAAGTATATTATTCTTTTTTGTTGCTAAGAGAAATATGTTTATTAAAGCAATCAATAATTTTTGCCAAATCAATAATTAACCAAAAATCACAATTAAAAGTTTTGTATCATGCATTAATATTAATTTTAATTAATATTAGGCATTTTCTTTTTAGAAAGTTTTGTCAGCTTATGAGCTTTTTTGTTGATCTTGATCAGAAATATCAGCAACATCTTCATTTTTTTTATTTTTATCATAATTTTTTATGAATGACAAAATAAAAACATGTTGTTAATTGAAAATTTTTTCTAGAGGATTACATTTGTTCATTTGAGTATAGAGCGATTTTTTTTTCTTTTTTCCAGAATTTGTGTGGAATACTGGATTGTTCAAGTACCGAGATACCATTGTATTTCATTCATCATTTTTATGAATGATTACTTACCTATGGCTAAAAAAAGTTTAATAACACTTACCTAAAAATTTACTAAATACAAAGATTAATCTATAAAAACAAAATACGATGACAATCTTAAAGGCTAAAATCTGAAAGCAATGACATTGACACTTGGTTGATAGGAAAGCTAGGTAAAGGGAGAAAATATTCTACTATCAATTTTCATTAAAGTAAACCTGATGAAAGGCATAGAATAAGTTGAAAATTTCAATATTCTAAAATTCATGGACAAATTTGAGACAATACACATGCTTACTTGAATAAAAAAAAATATCAAATAACAAAGTTTACACTTAAAAATTGTGAAATTTTGTGCACAGGATTTCCAAAACCATGTTAGAATGAAATCAGAAATTGTGTTGTATGAGGAATATTCTCAATTTTTTAACTGTGTTAGAGCAAAACCATGTTGTAGAAATGCCATGTTTTACGAGGGATATCTGTAGTTAACTATTACCTATTTCTAATTTTGTAATTTAAAAATATTAATCATAGACAAAATGTAGGGTTTTTTTTTTTTTACTACATTATACAACTCTTACTAATTTAAAAAAAATATTATTGTAAATTGAAAAATTCTATTCAAGTAAGAAAGTTCAGTATTCTTTAATGTTTTTAAAGATTATTTAGTGCAATAAAAACAATTAATGTTTTTAGTTAAATTTATATTGTATCTGTTTTTAAATAAATAAAACAAAATTTGATTGGGCTGCAATTGAAAAATGGTAGACCTACAGATTTCCATTGTCGTCCAGCTATCTGCCCTCCCTTAATTTCAAGAATAATGTTAGATAAATGAATGTTGAGACCAGATATGGAAAGCTTGGCTGCAGGAGGCCCCAATTAACTATATATGAACTTCGGTCTAGACCGGAAGTCTCATGATTTCAACTTAAAAATTTTCCCAGAATGGAGTTACATAGATGAGCTGTTATTATCACGAAAAGTATGATGTACAGGGGCAAGACACTATTAATTTGAGATTGAGATCATATATTTTAAATTAAGTAAATTAAAAATATGATAAAAAATTGCAGCAAAATCAAAATAAATGAGCAAAAAATTATCTTTTGCTCATTTATTTTGATTTTGTATTATTTTTCTAAACACATTTAATCTATTTTGAAAGTACTTTTATATTTTAATGTTTTGAATTATAACAGATCTCCTCCTGAAGAGCATATACATATTGCTGATAAATTGCAAAAATCATTAAAATTTGCAAATAAGGTAAGAGAATATTTGTTCAAAATAATATATATTTATCTAAATTCATTAGAACAGTGTTTTTCAACCTGTGAACCGCGACCCCCAGGGGGTCGCAAAGCCTTACATGGGGGTCGCGGGTGAAAGAAAAAGACAAGTGTTTGTAGATCCTACACTACAACAAAAATAACTAAAATTTCAGTGAGAAGTCTGTGCCTGTTTATTTTACAGTACAATTGGTTTTTGATCGATATTTAAGGAAAGAAAATTAAATACATAGTTTTTAAAATCACTGATATAATTTTAATATGGCCCTGGGGGGGTCGCCAGAATTTTTTAACTTGTAAAGGGGTCGCATATTCAAGAATGTTGAAAAACACTGCATTAGATCATCTGTTATAATCTCTATTCATATATCTTAAAAATAAAGGTTAAAGATATTTATTTAGAAAAATGAAATAAGGATATTTTGTATTTATATGTGTATTAAATAGACTATCATTGCTTCTTTTGGTTATCAAAGATTATTTACTAAAAAAGAAATTATTATTACAAAAATTACAAGAACAAAGATTATTATTTAAATAAATAATCTTTGGTAATTGAAAGAAACAATGATAATCTATTTAATTGTCAGTATGGTGTTATTAATGTCATTAACTTAAAAATATTTGTTCTTACTGTAGTCCTACATGCCTACATGTTAGTATATTTTATTCTGATTTTAATTCCATAATTTTTATTGCATATTTTTTACAAATTTAAAGTCTTGGTGAGGATCATTCAACGAAATTAATTGTAATTATTGATATTATTTTTTTTACACTGTAAATCATGATATTGTTTTCTGTAATATCTCTGTTTCTATGATATTAACACATTAATGTTATTTTAAATGAAATATGAAAAAATCAATCTATATTAGTCATCATACTGTAAATGATTATTTTACATATTAAATCTTATATTCATCAAAATATTACACAAAGAATAGATATTTGCTAATTTCATTTGAATTTCTCTCATTAAATGTAGATCTCTATCAAATAAAGATCTCTTTTCTGTAGATCTCTATCTATGAATGTTCACAAAAGTATTTAAATATGTTAAAATTTATGTCAACAATGTTTTTACAGTGCCTTTTTCATGTGCCTGCTTAAATTGTGTATCTTGAGATCCATCTCACTAATTTTTAAATAAATGCAAGCCTTTTTTTTTACAATTAAGTTGTTCTTTCTTCATTAACAGAAAAAAAGCAGAGAAACAGTTTCTAACAGACATTTTTACTTTTGTATGTAAGCTTACATGAGTTAAAATTTGTAGTCAATATATATGTGGCATATGAAAATAATTGTACTATATACATTTTATATAATATAAATATAGTATTTATTCTTTGTCTAAGGACTATTATTTACTTTGTTTGTTATTTAATTATAATATCAATGTATCAATTACTCTTAGATAGAAAGAGTACTACTTAGTCTGGGTTTACCTTCCATCCTCCAAAAAAATATACTTATAGAGCATATATTTTATTTTTATTTATACAGTTTGTGTATATATTTAAAAAATAATTTAAAATGCCATATATTGATTTTTTTATTTTTTAAAAATCAAAAAGAATAAAATGTGATAATATGCTGGCCCAAAACTTAGATAGGTGATTAGTTTCAAAATAAAAGTTTCCAATCTTAATATTTCCCACTTGAACAAAAATTCAAAATGCTCTTGTAATATTATAACTTGAAAAATTAAGTACGGCTACAAGACATGGTAGATATTGCAAAAACTTTTTTATCAGTGTTTTATTGTGAAAGCACTGAATCCTACAATAAAAGGCTGGTGTTTTGATCATTTTTAACTTGTATAATCTTTTAATAATCTATTATTGCTGTTTTTAATGAAGATTTAGTTATATGTTCAAGCTGTTTTTGCTGTTACTTCTGGGATGGACTGTAAAAGGATCTAAAGAGTAGACTCGAAAAAATTATATTTTTATGTAAGTCTTCTAATGCGTCAAAAGTTAAAAAATTAATTAGATTTTTGCATATTCAAAATTATTCTCAAAATTTAGTCAAATATATCTACATTTAAAAGAAAATTATTATTTTTTATTAAATTACAGTTTTATGATCTGAAAACTGAAATGCTTGAATTCATATCATTGTTTCAAAAAGTATTTTTGACTTTCCTTAATTATTTCCATCTCTTTAATTAAATGATAAACCAATCCAAAGCAAACTATAAAAAAATCATTTTGGTCAATTACTATTAAGACAGTAATTTTGATTTCAAAATTTAAAATTCAGAAAAGTTTTAATGTAAATTGTTTATATTATTTTAATAATAAACTTTTCTTTGTTTTTGAAATTTCTGATGTGACAGATCTACTGTGTAACTCATGTTACATAGTACATCTGTTATATCTGATAAATATTTTAATTTACTTTATAAAAGTAAATACTAAAGAAAGAGTTTGCTGTTTTTTCAAAACAGTACAGTACAGCTATGGAATGCAAACTACATGCATTTAATTCCACTGTGTATTTATAATTTTCTTTAATCTCATTGGTCCATCACACATGAACATTTCAATTAATAAATTTAGCAAGATTACAAAATCAAGTCCAATCTAACATACCAAATTTTAAAAATTTGAAATGTAATAAATTAATATATTTTATTAGTAAGTAATGCCATCTTGGAACAGTGATATAGATAGGAATTATATGAATATATTAATTTTATATTTTATGAATATTCATAAAATATATGAAATTGTTTTTTATAGAATTTGCTTAATACAACAAGAGATTTGGCTATTGCCCAAGCTCAGCTGTTTAAACAATTAGATCCCTATCCGCAGTTTTATTCTTTGCATAGGTAAGTGTGATATAATATAAAGTTTTTATGTATTTAATAATATAAATATAATATAAAGTTTTTATGTATTTAATAATTCATTGAAAAATCATAAATTAATTATAATTTATAAAAATGAAATTAAACATTTGGAAATCATTAAATTGTGATATGTGATATGAAAAAATAAAATATAAAAAATATTTTTTTTAATAGTTTCAACTGACATGATAGATGAAAAATTTCCTTTAACATAAAATAATTTTTCTATTGTCTATCAAAAAATAATAAATTTGTTAATAAAATATTTATTTATATGTATACATATGTATAATACAGGTTGGTTATAATTAAACTCAGACCTGTAAAGAGTCCATTCTCATTGATGTATTTTGATGAAAACTTAGTATATATGTTATATGGACCACGGGGAAAAGGTAAATGCAAAAAAATAATTAGTTCAAATTTCTACCACTAGGTGAAAAAAATAGTGCATGAAGAACAAGAAACATAAAATGGAAACATGCAAAAGGTTTTTATTTATGACATTTGTTCAATGTGCAATCCATTTGTGTCAGTCACATGTTCAAAGTGCCTTGCAGCATGTTCAACAGTAGTCTGATAGGTTTCTTGAGAAATTGCTGCAATATTGCATGTTATGCTTGCTTTCAATTCAGGCAGAGTTCGTATGGTTGTGGGGATATCTGAAAGATGGTGTCTATAGAAGAGACATATGAACTCTGCCTGAATTGAAAGCAAGCATAACACATCATATTGCTGCAATTTCTCAAAAAACCTATCAGACTACTATTGAACACGCTGTATGCTGTAAGGCGCTTTGAACACGTGATTGATGCAAATGGATTGCACATTGAACAAATGTCGTAAATAAAAACCTTTTGCATGTTTCCATTTTGTGTTTCTTGTTCTTCATGCACCATTTTTTCACCTAGTGGTAGAAATTTGAACTAATTATTTTTTTGCATTTTCCTTTTCCCCATGGTCCATATAATGTATACACCAAGTTTCATCAAAATACGTCAACAAGAACGGACTCTATACCAGTCTGAGTAGGGCAACTTTAATATGTATATATATAAATGTATTTTTTTTTTTTTTAAGGAAAGATGCAGAAGCTGAGTTTATGAGCATATTTTCTGGAGAAGTAAATGATAAGGTAAGATTATTAATATATATTTATCAAACTGCTGAGAACATTTTTGTACACATTTGAATTATATGTGGATTTCTTTACTAATGTCTGCATTCACTAGCACTAACTAGGAAATTTGCAAGTTAGTTAAAGTTTGGTTAAGTTTATTCTTAGATTAACAGGAAATTCTCATACTATTGTTTTAGTAGGGAAAGAAAGTCAAGCTATTCAGAGTTTAAATTTATAATCCAGAAACCAGACCTAAGTACTTTCTTTTATCAAAAAAATATGATTGGCTGTAAACAGCCACCAGAGTTGGATCCACATGAACCATCACTGGCATTATATATGGAAACTTTCCTGGTAATTTTAGTATGTACTTGAAATTGGGTGTAAGAAAAAAATTCACTAAATTTTACCCTTTAAGAAACAGAATACAGTTTACCCCCCTATAACATGGTACATATGTTTCGTATTATATGAATTTTGTGTTGTACAAGTCACTTAAATACATGAGCCAATCACAGCCCGGCACTTGTGCAGTTTGGGGGCTATGGCTGTTTGAAAGGTTTTTTTCATAAAGTTAATCGATTTTAGACTAATTTGACTCAAACATTTCCAAATCATGTATAATTTTTTAGGAATAATCCAAATAAACTGTGCTATAAATAAAAAATTGTAGGAATGCTTACCGAGTGTGCATCATTTGAAGATGCCATTGCTTAAGCTTGTTTTCATCGCAGAGTGGCTCATTGAACGGCGGACACATTTCCTGATAAGTTATTCTGATGACTAAAGACAAAATTTTAGATAACATAAAAATAATAAAATTACAGTATTAGACTTACAGTACCTAATTTATATACTGTACAAACGATAGTAAACTCAACTTTTCTGCCTAAACTCTCCGTATATATGCGTGACGCTGGACGGCGGCAAGTAGTTCAGCTGCTCGTCCACTATTAGCCCAGATTTAACCAGTCCTGTCGCAACACGACAATCTGTCTCATTCTTTTACCATGTTATATGAACACGATCACTATTTGTTTACTGTGTTATATGAACCCGTGTTATAGGGAGGTCTAGTGTGTGTTATTTTACAGTATTAGATAATTGTTTATAATTGCCACTTGTCTATTACAGTCTATTGGCAACACTGTATGGAATTGTGCCTGTGCAGTAACTTCAATTGATTCATTTAGTAGCTGTCAGTAATTTTATCAGTTTATTGTTATTTTCTTTTCTGTAAGAATTGCTGCAAGAATAAACAATCCCAGCAGTTATGAAGTCAGATCAATATTCTGATTTCTCAATGCAAAATATTGTGGTGCTACAGAAATATATCATGAATTATGTGAAAACTATGGTTCTATGGCAATGAGTGAAGAAAAAATTAGGCAATGGTCTCACTAGTTTAAGGAAGGTCTCACAAATGTGCACAATGAAGGCAGTACAATAGTAAAGTAGAAGGCAGACAGCTAGATAGCTGAGATAGTTAAGATATCAGCATACTGCTCTTGGAGACCAGGGATTGAATCTGGGTGATCAGAAATCCCAGGAATTTTCCTTAGGCATTTTGAACATAAAACAGAAAGTTGATAATTTATTCAACATAAGTTGATTTATAGTGCCATATCATAGGTATTAGAATTCTGTTATTGTGTAATGTTAGAATTTAGAAATAAAATGTACATTTATTATACCTAAGGAATCATTCAATGCTTTCCTATTTAGATTGATTAATAGGTAATAATAGATCATTAGTATAAAATGAAAAGTATTGATATAATGTCAATAACATTTTCACAATATTAAAAACATAAGTAAATTTTTTAATTTTCTGGATCATTTCTATTCTGTGATATATTGTAAGATTTCTAGAATTACCTTTAAATACCTTAAATAAATAAATAAATAATTATTTGCTTTTTAATAATACCATAAATATCTTTTCTATTATTATTTTTAAAAATTGTGACAGCATTATTTCATTTTCAATTTTATATCATTTTCTATTTTCTTTTTCTATTTATTCTATTCTATAGAATGTATTATTGTTTTTGACCACTGGAGATATCAAAGGTTCAGGTCACATGTTGATTACTGGACCACAAGAAATATTGGAAAAATATGGACCAAAGTAAGAATTTTTAATTCATTTTTTTAATTAATCATTTACTGTTTCTTACTTTATTCAATGTCTTTTATAAAATATTGAAAAATTTCTATTTAGTTTACAAAATTACTTATAATGGAGAGAATTCAAAAACAAAAATAAGTTCTTGTACTTTTGAGCTTAACTGATCTTTGTTAATAACTCTAAATTTATAAAGATGTATAATAAAATATTTTACATATTAATGTTTTAAGATTATTTACAACTTAATAAGTATTCATGCATTCAACCTGCATAGCTCATGCTGGTTATAATTTTTTTATCTGTTGTATCAGTAGCAAAGTCCATTCTTGAGCAAGAGCAGCTTGAAGTTTCTAGAGAGTTGTTGCCAGAGGCTGATAAGGTGTAACTCATCTCCCTAGAGCATCTCACACATGTTCTATTGGATTTAGGTTCTGAGATCTTACTGGCCTTTTCATGCAATGAATGCTTCATTCTCAAGAAAGTCATTGATATGTGCAGGCATTATTTTTCATGAAATGAAATCTGTATCTATAGCACCACAGAAAACTCTTGTGAAGTTTCAAAACCTTATCTATATACTTTCTTGCAGTAATGATGGTCATTGCAAGAAAACATAGCAATATCATTGAGCACAATGCCATTTCAAACATTAATACCATCACCTCCAGGCTGGTCTCCTTCCACAATGTTCATGGACTCTGCTGGGTTCTTTGCTCTCTCCAGATTCTAATCTGATGAGAATCATTTCTATAGATTGTACCTGGATTTGTCAAAACTTTTTAACTCAAAGTTTGGATTTTTTTCCCTGATTAATTTGAGTTAACCAAGTTCCACTGTATTTTTTTGGGGGCATTTTATATGTTAAATATAATTTCTCTCTCTCATGAATTTGACTAAAATAGCTCAGAATTATATATATTCTTTCAAATTTAATGGAATGTTTATTTCCATAAAAGTTATAAAAATTTTTTAAAATATGTATTATACTTATAAAATAAATAAATTATGTATTGTACATTTTGTAGATAATTATTTCACAAGCTGAAATATATTAAAATATAATTTTAATTTTTTTAATTATGTAGATCTGCATTATATGATGAGATTTAACAAAATAGGTTTAATTATTTTAGGTAACCTCAAAATATATATTTATTAAAAAGATTACAAAGGAAAACAATTAAGTAGTGAAGAAAACCTACAACAAATAATAAAAGATATCAAATGTTAACATATAAATAAATTTCTTTTGCATTTTTTTATAATGTTAAACTATGCAATTTCTTTTCAAATCTTGATTTCACAGCAGAAAACAGTAAATAGAAGTCTAAAAATCATCTTTATTCATAAATTTCAAAAAACTTTAATTTACTTAATTTACATTATATCAATAGAATTATCTTATTAAACAACCATTTTTTTCATCAGATTTGATGAAAATATTAATTTTTTTAAATATGTAAATTTAAAAAATTAATATTTTCATCAAATCTGATGAAAAAAATGATTGTTTAATATGATTGTTATATTCAACTAAATAATGATTACAAAGAATTGCTTTTAGCCCTTGGTATAATTAAATTAATTAAATAAATACTAATGTGGGGTAGATGATAATAAGGATTTATCACACTAGCAATTACATAAGTATGAGTAATTACTCAAACTTATGTAATCGCTAGTGTGATAAGTCCTTATTATTATCTACCCCACATTAATAGATATTTAATTAATTTAAATAATGATTCACTATAATTTATTTTAAAATTTATTAGAAATTTATGTATAAATATTATTTTGCTTTACAGAATATGTGAATTACTAGAAGGCAAAGGAGCAGGTAAAAATGGAAGATTTCAAGCAAAGGTTAATAATCTCTGTAAAAGACCTCAAGCTGAAGAATTATTGAAAAATGCAATTGAGTGCAGTAATAATCATGAAAAATAATTATTAATTATTAAATAATTAATTATTTTTAAATGTTTTATTTATTATTTTAAGATTTATTTATAAAATTATTACTTAGGAATTACATTAAAAAATATTTTAAAGAAATTATATAACTATATTTTTGATTTGTTTCCTGTGTATATGTGTGCATATACATATATACACTCTTGCAAAAATCAATATTGCTTCTAGACAGATCTAAATAAAATTGAGGAATGAAACATATTTGGTGTGTAGCACTGTTTAGATAAAATAATAAATATTTCAGTCCTTGATGTTAAAAACTTGACACAGATAACAAACAGTAAAAACTATTTTGTTTGAACATTTTGAACTTTAAAAAAAAAATGTCTTCAGGAACATTTTAAAGATAAATTATTCCAATTATTATTATTATTATTATTGTGTTACAGATTAAAATATTTTTTCTTATGTTCTATGAAATTAAAATCTACAACTAATTACAAAAAAAATCTAAGATTAAATCTACTATTGTCTTGCTTTACATTGTGTATTAGCAGGACAACATAAAATGAAATGCCATGTACAGATACTACCCTACTTATAGTGAATTTCATTCACCAATAAAAACTTAAAATAATTCATAGTGTAATGCAGAGATGTTTATTTTTGATATTATAAAGACAAGTGATCATACAAATCAATCAGAAGCTTAGATTTTGGAAAAATGTAACTTATAATCTGCAGACCCTTTGCAACACATTTGTTTGCATTTCATTCAATGTCTTAAGATTCTGTAATCGCCTTTTTGCTTTATAAGAGTTACAAAGTATTGAGGCATGAAAGATAAAAATTTGTGCAGCAACTATATGGGAAATTTTTTCCTATTCATTGCTTAAATACGTATATAATTGTTCTAACATGTGAAGACAGTGTTGAGTCTTTTTTTTTTTTTTTTCAAAAATATCCATACATTTTCTGTTAGGTTTAAGCTTGATGCTTTCTCAAATGTAATAATCACTTCATGCCGACTTTTTCAATATCAAAGGTTACATTTACATGTTGTGGCGTTACGAACAGTGACTGCTTGTGAACTTATCTAAACTCTAAACAATCACTGTTCGTAACACCACAACCTTTGGTTACAAAGGTTACAACGTAAGTGTAACCTTTGATCTTGATGCTGTCATGGGGAATACATATATAATTAGACTGCAGCCAGGTTTTTGTTTTCGTAGCATTATGTGGACAGATGTTGTCATGCTATAGGCTTGTCTTTGGAAAAGTTTACAGTAAATTTTGGATCATGCCGTCCAATCTCTAGATTTAGGGTCCATCAAAAAGAACACCTTACGACCCCTTGAACTCAGTATAAGTTCATTTATTTGACAACTGTTTACAATATAACAGCAATATTTCTTGCTTGCTTCTAACAACACAGACTTAGGCCAGGCTTGTTTCTTTTCATTTCACTGGTCGTGTTGCCTTATATCTAAGTTTTAGATCCATTGGTTGACCAATCTGGAGCTGAGTTGGTAGCTCTCCTGTGGGTCCATTTTGGTTGGCATACCTGTCCCAATTTGTCCAGGATCACTTGCTAACTGACCCATTCCAGAAAACTTTAATTATCTTGTCATTACTTGATAGGCCTCCTTGACATTTACATTTTGATTTGCATAGATGTTGCTGAAGGATTAAAATATAGGCTTCACAGTTCACAGCACCATTGCAGAAATTCAAATCTCCAACTTCTGCACTCTTGCATATTCATACCATTAGAGACTATGGCTTCTGTTCAGTTTTATCTTTAATACAAATGACTTTCTTTCCTATATTCCCATGGTTTACATGAAATGTTGATACATCCAACCATACATTTTCTTGCAATCAATGTTTGTTCACTTCAGATGAGTTCTGGCCCAAGCTAAATGTCTGCACTTGCATGATTCATTCATGAGAGGTTTCCTTTGGATTTGCACAACTTGTATTTACATCATTGATATATCTCTACACTGTGCATTCAGATAATAGGATATTAAAGTATTCCTTTGCCCACTTTGTCAAATTTTCTGTGGAAACGTGCCTGTTTTAGAAAATGTAGCATTGAAAGGAGCTGAGATGTAGTTTTCTTCCTAAAGCTTTACCTGGATGAGCATTTTCCTTTTCTCAAAAACATTTATTGATTCTCTGGACTGTAGACTAGATATCTGGACATCCTGGAACCAATGAGGAAAATTATTATCCAGAAGTATAAAGGAGTCTCTCAATGCACTGAGATACTCCTTTATGCTTCTGGATAATAATTTTTTTGATTGGTTCCAGTACTGCCTTTTCTCTTGCTATTTTTCATAGATATTAATATGAACAGCTAAAGCTGATTTGCCTTTTATATGCAACACATGTGAATAAGAAAAACTATGAGAAATTCCAGAAAATTTGCCAAAAATCCTTTCTGAACAAACTTCATTGCAATATAATGTCAGATGGTTGCAAAATTTACTTAGCTATATATTCCAAACTGATGAGATTCAAGGTTGTAAGTTATTGGAATTAACTTGTTCATTTACAAAAGGAATTCCTTGTACCAATTGATGTGATATGTATACGAGAGATTTTAAGTTTATGTAAATTTCTGAAAGTGTAAATGGTGAACAAAGTGGAGTTGTAAATTTGCTTTTTATTTCAAGTATTCTCAGATGATTAGCTAGATTTATGCAACCATTTGTAATTATTATAACAGGAAAGTGTTAAAATATGTTTAAAATGTTTTGCTGGTGTTTTTACTATATACACTGAATTTCATAATAAAAATAGTCAACATGAACATTAACAGTCTAAATTAATCCCTGTGCATCCAAGGATTAATTTGTGACTTCGAAAAATGTAGTCCTGAGTCAGGAGGCTCTGGATCCTATGTATCAAAATTGAAACTTGATCGCAAGCATGAGTGGTCTCATATGGGGTAATGAGTGGTCTCACTTGGGGTAAGAGAACAGAGGAGCAAGTTGAGAGAAGAACAATCTGGAAGAGAATCACTTAATTAGTGAGTAATATTATAACAAAATATATTTATTAGTGTATTCATTCATTAAGTTCTCTATTGATGACTAGCACCCTAACATACGTGGATAACTAACTAATGACTACATTAATCTATCAGTTAACTCAATTAATGTGCAAGTACTGAGAGAGAGAGATTATGATCAGTTTGTGAGGAGTAAATACCTTCTGACTTGATCCCTTGCTGAACAATTTCTGGCTTCCTTGTAAAATGTCCATTTAGTCCTTCAATACACAGTTCAATGGAAGTTCTAGAATGTATTTAAAAGAGTGACACAAACACACCAAAAGGAAAACTCAGGAGGAGAGGAACTGCTTCTTCCTTGAGTGATCCTTGTGGAAATCACAATAACCTGTATTAGGACTATTGTGTGGAAGTATGATTACCACGTCATAAGAGAGACAAAGAAAAGTTACTTAACAATAAATTTATGTATAAGTAATATATTGATATATACAAAAAATTTACAGATTTGTTCACTAGATCACACATATAGACATCTAAGAACCAGATAGGTTCATCTGTATACTGAGTTGGGTATAATACAGTCCTTTTGGTTAACATACACTTGAGTCTCTCCCAAAACTATTTCTTGGTAAATGTCCACTACAGGCATACCTCGACTTACGTCGTTTCGAGTTATGTCGTTCCCGATTATACGTCGCTTGTTAAAAAAGTATATGGAAAAATAAAAATCAAGTTTAAGTCATTTTATTCGACTTTACGTCTGTCCGCCACAAATATTGAAGTCGTAATATCACTAGATAAACGTTTAAAGCACATAAAATCATATTAAAATATATACAAGTATGTACTGTATTTACAGTACACGCATTCGTAAATTTAGATTACTTTTTTTGTACTATATTAAAAACTAAAATTTATTTGTTTGTAAGCTTAAAATAGATTTTTATTAACCATATATTATTTAAAATGCTTTCCTAGTGATAAGTAGATTCGGAGACAGGTAAATTCGACTTACGTCGTTTTCCTGGAACCAATTACCGACGTAAGGCGAGGTATACCTGTACTGGTAATTGTTTAAATTTAACATAAAGTTCCAATTGCCCAGTGAGTATTCCAGCTGATGCAAACAGATTTTTCACTTTGAGTCTGATAATACAAAACTGTATGGATACCACTTCCACTGCACCACGCAGTTCCTAAGGACACCTTAACACACAAAAAAAGAACAACATTGACCCATTTTGTTGACTCAGACAATCTCTCACCAGCCAGCCAAAAAAAGATAGTGTTGCCAATCTGCACTATCTTAAGTACCTCTTCCTTCTCACTGCAGGTGAGAAGGAAGAGGTACTCACTCTTCCTTCTCCACGGCCAATTTCTTATACCATAAAAACAAATATATATATATATATATAGGGTTATACATATGTATATATGTATAGCCCAAAACCTGCAATGACACATCCTTTTTGTCTTCTGCTGGTGATTTCATTTCCAACCCCTTGATTCCTGCCCAAAATCAGTTAAGAAGCTTGCTCATCCAATCTGAGATTTTCTTGCAGACTTACCAGGATTTATTGAACCCAATGGATGATGTATCATTTTAAATGGAAGCAAAGTCAAAGATAAGATCTTATGAATATCCTTGTTGAATTCAACTGTTTAACTTTTTGCTTTTTCTCATAGTAAATAATTATAATTTTGCAAATTAACAGAAATAATAGCCTGGATTCTCACAAATTTAACCATCTGTTTATATATCAATCGTGTAAAACAAGACACTACTGTAGTAACAACTTAATTGCTGATTTTTAATTTTCAAATAAAAGTTTTTGTTTAATTTTAGATTCTGCTTGTAATTGATTTTAGATTCCTAGAATATTTGCTATTCTTACAAATTAAACATATTTTTTTTATCTTTACACTGTTTACGGAGACATTTTTATTTTATGTTTAAAATGGTGCAAACTAAATAGATTTTATTATTTATTCACTGTGTATCAAGTGCTATATTGTTGAAATAAAATATTTCAACAATATTATTGAAATATTTTATTTCAACAATATTTTATTTCAATACAATATTTTATTTCAACAACATAATATTGTTGAAATAAAATATTTCAACAATATTATGAATTTTTGTATTTAATTAAATTTATTGCACTTTTTTGTAAAAAATAAATAAATAAATTTTAATTAATAAAGATGTTAAAATATTATTACTTTATATTTTAAATTTGATTGATTTCAAATATTATATTCTGTTGAAATGAATTAAAATTTTTAAATCTACAAAAAGTATTTATATAAATGCAATTATTTTACTATTGAACACAAATTTTTCTGTGTTCCACTGTTACTCTGATATTGTTGATATTACAATAAAATTCTTAAATACCAATAATAATAAACTTAGTCAAATTCATTCCTGTAGTTTTAGAATATTGATTCTTTTCAATTTTTGTAGGTTTTAAAATCATTATTTATTTTAAAAGTAAAGTTTATAATTTTCATAGTTATTATAAAAATTAATAAATATAATATATTATTATTTAAATATTTATCTTATGGCATTTTTATTGTTAATTCTTTTTACTGATTTATTTATTCCAAACCTATAAAAATTAAATACTAAAGAAAAAATTGAAATCTGCTATAACTTTAAGCAATATATATCATAATTATTTTAACATGGTCACTACAGAAAATTGTTCAGTACAGTCTTAAATTAGGTAACTTGTTTTGAAGATGACTAAGGCAGTTAAGGCAGCCTTCCACTGGATGATCCTAAATCAATTGAGATGAGTCACCCTGGAAATTTTTCATGGGCAGTAAGTCTTGAATATGTTGGATCTTGTCTTTCAATATCTATGATCTTCAGGAAATTGAGAAAAAAGATTCTCTTATTGCCCAAAGGGCAAAAAGAGCCAAAAATCAAAACTATTGTTTTGAACAAGCCAATCTTTAAAACATTAGATTAAGTGATATCAATGATTAGTTTATGTTAAATACTTTATTAATGATTTATATTATTATTAAATTATTATTTAAGCATTTTTAAAAAATAGAGAATGTGCTTTATTAAATATAAACAACAAAAAAACTGGATAATGATGTTGAAAAAAAAGGAAAAAACAGAAAAATACTTTTATTATAGCTTTTTGAAGTATTTTGTTTAGTTTTTAAATTATGAATCATTTAGAAATAAAATCATAACTTGTAAAAGAATAAAAATTTTCTTAAAACTTAAAATTTTCAAATTTGAAAGAGTCAAATTAAATTAAATACAAAAAATATACAAATTAAATAGAAATTTTTAAAATAGATGATATAGTTAAGTTTCTCTTAACTGAAAGATATTTTTGCATTGCTAATAAATTCATTTTATTTTGTATTGTTCAATTTCTAAGTTAGTGTTTTATTTCTTCCTAGATTTTTTTTTACAAATATGTAATTAATGCCATTTTAATGTATTGTCTTGTTGTTATTTTATAGATATTTTTAAAATTATTATATTGATATTTTAAATTCCCAATTTTCTTTGTGTTTCTTGGTTAGAAGTTATATTAATTGTATAAGAAGTTATTAAAAACAAAATAGGGAATATAATTTAATTCTTTATTTTAACTCTTTCATATTAAATTTTAAAATAGAAATTATATACAGGGTTCTTACACACCTGGAAAGTCAGGGATTTTCATTAGTGTTAGGAAAAGGTCATGGAAAGTTAGAGAATTTGTTTCCTTGGTTGCCTTATTGATTTTGTTTGTTGACAGTATGGCTGACCAAGTGTAGCTGTTTGCAGGCAGCAAGAAGTATTGTGGTACAATGCAACTTATGAAAAGGGGGTGCAGAATATTTCCAGGATTCAAAATTTCACCCAAACATACACAAAATTTTCCCAAAATTATAGCACACAAAATATACAAGCATACTACAGTATCAATTGTCATTTTTAAACTTTAAAATTGCTGTATTAATTATACAGTATTATAAGTTTGAGAGAAAAATCTAATACTCTTATTAATCTAATGTTGATAAAAAATTTTTTTGAAATACTTTAACTCTCTATCTCTCACAATTTACACTGTCAATTTGAGGGCAGGTGTTAATGAACTGATGAAAAAAAATTATAACAAAGAACTAAAAATGATAATATTAATAATTCAAATGGTATTATTTAAGTTATTCATCATTTTTCATTTTAATAATTTTGATTGCATAACAAAACAATTTTTGATTTCTGAAACTTTTTCCCAGTTTATTAATATTTTATAGTTTGGAAAATTTATTAAGAGACAAATTTAATAAATTTAGTACATGGATTATACAGAATTTTTAATAATAATTAATGGTGGTTTTCATTTTTTTCAAAGCCATCAAGTTTTACAGTTATGAGTTTATAACAGGATAAATTATTTTTATTTAATAAAACATTTTAGTTTTATGTAGATTAGACATGCCTTAATTCTGTCTTTCTTATTTTATTTTTAATTTTATTAATTCATTGATTATAAAAAATATATAACTGTTAATTAGAAAAAATAATCAGTTAAAAAGTTTGAGAAGCAATAGTATATGTGCTAAGTAAGTCAAGTGATGTTTTATTTTGTTAATATGCCATACCATAAGGGATGTGAAGGTCAGGGAATTTGTACAAAATTGGTCAGGGAAAGTCAAGGAATTTAAAACAAAAATTTGAGTAGGAACCTTGTATATATTTTAATATATAATTTCCAAAAGCAAATAAACTTTCTCATAGCAAAATAAAGTTTTATTGCAAACGCTAAAATAATTTAAAACAAAATTTATTGTATTACAGTATATTAATAATATACATACACAAATTGATATCGTCCAAAGTTTTTGAATGATGTAATTAAAATTTGAATTAAATATTGAGTCAGTTGACAGATGGATTGCATGACACACTTACTATCTTACTGTGCATTGATGATAATGAAGGTAGAAGTTTTCACTTTGTTTTCTCTCATAAATATTTTATAGATAACTATCTAAATTACATTGAAAATAACAGATGGCAAAGCAGCAATTCTCAGTATGTCTTATTCTAATTAATATAAATATCGTAGATTTGTTTTTTGGAACCAGTTATAACAGCAACTGTATTCAATATAAGAATTTACTGTTCTATTCATTGGAAATAGGATCAATTGATTTTTCAAAATAAGAATAACAGTTACGTTATAAATAAGCGTAAAAGTAAGTATAAATTTATATGTAAATTAATGACGTGTTATTTTTCTATTCTATTAAGTTAAGAAATTTTATTTTTATAAGTTATTAATTAAAAGCGCTCACTCTATAAACAATGTTAGGAAAAGGTAAAATAATGTCTTGAATAGGACAGCAAGAAACTTTTAATTTATTATTATTATAAATTTTAAATAAATGTTAATTACCATAACACAGTCGAGCCCATTCAACAGAGCATTGAATAAAGGAGAAGTTAGTTTAAGAGAACACACTCCATATTCCCGATTTACTCCCCTATGTTTTATATTAGCGAGGATCCCATTAACAACATCGGATAGTAAAGCAGTCCATTTAAACGAGCACCTCGGTGTCATTTTTAAGCAGTAGTCTGCATAAGGGTGTCTTATAAGAGTTTATCTTTAATCATACGGTACATCGTCACCCAGTGTACACGGCGACGGGGCTCTACATTGTAGCAGTGGTGTCAAAATTACGGTTCTGGGCCAAATTTGTCTCGTGAACGTATTTGACACATCAGTTAT